CCTCCCTTCTCCTCTCCAGGACTAAATTAGTAACAAGGATACTTGATGCTAGGCTTATATGCCACCTTTACCTTCTCTGAAACCTAATTCTAATCAATCATTCTCTTTTTCCTAGTGGGTCTAGACCATTTCTCAGAATCTTTCTTGTTACAGTATTCCAAGCAGCCTCTATCCAGAGTTGACATGTGAGACGAAACCCCTTTGCCATCTCTGCTCTAGACTAGGAGATTTTCCCAGAAGAGAAACTGTACATAATTCATCTCTTTAATGGAAAATTTTCAATACTAACAGCAACAGGTAACATTTTGTTAGGTGTTAACATGTCTGAAGCATGTTAAAAGCTATACTTAGCTGTTTATGTGTATTCTCCCCTTTATGTTGCAAGGGATATAGAATACCCATTTCTCAGATGAGGAAAGTAAGGCACAGAATGCTTAAACGATGCACGAAAGATTGTATTGCTGGTAAATGGTGGAGCCAAGATTGCAACTGATGGAGCTTGACTGACACAACACACCACATCATCCCTGCCCCCACCACTGTTGGTGTTCCCGAGCTCCATACAGTGCTTGGCATGCATTAAGTACATAATCAGCATTTTGTAAATGAATGAATGCCCCAGAAAGCATGCATGCATGAATGAATTGACTTAAGGTCTGGTGCTAGGGTGAAAGGGTAAGATGGAACCAGCTGCTGCAGACCCACGGGAGGCTAGGCTGTGGGAGATGGTTTCTGACTCAGACCTAGCTTCCAAACCAGGCAGGAAGAACTGCCTCCCTGCTTCTCAGTCTGAGAGTCAAAGCTTCCAAGATTATAATTATCCTGCTTGCCCCACCCACGGCCCTGCTTCTCCTCTGAGCCACAGCTCACAGGCCTCAGGGCTCCAAACGAGAGGGTGCCCGTTGGGGGTTGACAGATGTAGGGAGTGCCTCAGGGGTTCTCTTAGAGAGCTGGAGAAACCCAGGTGGGGGGAGACTGCAGCCCTGGAGTGAAGGATGGAAACTGCACAGGTCACTGCACATCCCCCTGGTATCCTCCAAGTTGCCCAAAGAGTGGGGAGCAGGCAGAGTGGTGAGCATGTGCCACAGGAGCAGATATTCAGTAGGCACAGCCCTGAAAAGAGGTGGAGTCTTGGACTGTTCATTGTTTCTCTCCAGGCCTCCATTTCCCCATCTCTAAAGTGACAGAGGAGCTCAATGATCTCAGGTCCTTTGAGCCAAATATTCTCTCTCTCTCTTTCTCTTTTTTCTTTTCTTTTTCTTTTTTTTTTTTTTTGAGACAGAGTTTCACTCTTGTTGCCCAGGCTGGAGTGCAATGTCACAATTTTGGCTCACGGCAACCTATGCCTCCAGGTTCAAGCGATTCTCCTGCATCAGCCTCCTGAGTAGATGGGATTACAGGCATGAGCCACCACGCCCAGCTAATTTTGTATTTTTAGCAGAGACAGGGTTTCACTATGTTGGTCAGGCTGGTCTCAAACTCCTTACCTCAGGTGATCCACTCACCTCGACCTCCCAAAGTGCCAGGATTACAGGCATGAGCCACCATGCCCAGGCTCTTTGAGCCAAATATTATCTAGCTGGCAAGCACATTTCTTGCATAAAGAAAACAAGTTTGCATTACCCTCAGTCTGCCCCACCCTCTTTCTCTTCCAGTTCCAGGCTGGCGCTTAGGTGCACACTTCCCTCTGCTCCCAACATCATTTTCACCACCCAGGGCTATGTCAGTGTCACTTGTGACCGTGAGTCCTTTCTCAATCCCTCCCTGCACCAGCCACCTACAGGGGGGTGCTATAACAGCTGGCACCATGCATTTGGCCATGTATGTTAATATCAATAAACCATTTGTTATGCATGTTCACCACTGTTGCTGGACTTTAAGGCCACCCTATATACAGCACCCTGTAAAGGCTAGAGGGGAAGCTCATGGGCTTTGCAATAAGTAGGCTGAATTCTATATCTGGTTCCCACACTTACCACCTGTGAGGCTTGTGTAAATCTCCACTTCTTTTTACTGAGCCCACTTTCCTCATCTGTCCAATGAACATTAAACAGGTACAGAAGTGACAAGCACACAGTAGTTATTTAAGGTGCAGTAACTCCTACTATTACTTTATCATTTTCCCGAGTGCTAACAGTTGTTGTCTCCTACTCAAGACCAAGCATATAAGTAAAGGGCCCTCAAGGAACAACCTCCAGCCTAGGCAACATAATAAGACCTCATCTCTAAAAAAAAAAAATACAAAAAATTAGCTGAGCATGGTGGCACACACCTGTAGTCCCAGCTACTAAGGAGGCTGAGACAAGAGAACCACCTGAGCCTGGGAGTTTGAAGCAGCAGTGTGCCATGATTGTGCCACTGTACTCAAGCCTGGGTGACAGAGTGAGGCACTGTCTCAAAAAAAAACAGAATAAGAAACCTGAGATGGCCCCTTGAGTTTCTATGTACAAGGCACCTTACAAAGAGGTAAATGTACACTTGCTCAAAGAGGGGAACAAGTGATGTGATGAAGCCTGAAGCCCAGTTCCACATCATGCCAGAAGGTGGCATACCCTGAGCCTCAGTCTCCTCATCCATACAGTGGGAGTGTTTGTAGAACCTAGCATGAAGGGCAATTGTTAGAATTAAATGAAACAAGGTCAGCACCCAGCACAGGACCTGCCTTACAGGAAACACTCAATGCCAGTCGTAGCTATCATCCAAGGGGAGACATTAGCATTTGGGTCACCTGATTGATAGAGCAAATAATCTAGCCATGCCCTGAGCTCACAGCCTGTGTAAGTAGATTAAGACATGATGAGGTTGTGTAATCCCAGCACTTTGAGAGGTCAAGGTGGGTGGATCTCTTCAGGTCAGGAGTTCGAGACTAGCCTGGCCAACATGGTGAAAGCCAACTCTACTAAAAATATATACAAAAATTAGCTGGATATGGTGGTGCATGCCATAATCCCAGCTATTGAGAATGGTTGAGGCATGAGAATCACTTGAACCCAGGTGACGGAGGTTGCAGTAAGCTGAGATTGCACCACTGCACTCCAGCCTGGACGACAGAGCAAGACTCTGTCAAAAAAAAAAAGACATGATGAGAATGAGGAAAGAAAAAGCATTGGTTTAACCTGCAAGGAACCTGGCAGGGTCAGGCTGCCAAGAAGTATAGCTCTTCTAGCATTTCCCTCTGACCATGGCCAGCTGCTCTGCACCTTCTTTTAGGGCTAGCATGAAGGGAAACAGGAAGAAAATGCAGCAAGCAAAATTCACTGTAGAATAAGGGAAAACTTCTGACCACAGTGGAAGACATGAAATTACAGGACAAGGGCACCATAGCACGGTGTCATCCTCATTTCTGAAGCAAATGTCTCGTCCACTCTTGTTTCCCCTGACCCATCAGCTTCAGCTGCAGCTAACTGTCTGGTCCCCACGTACCTGACACAGTTCCTCCACAGCCTTCCATGTCCCTCCACATTTGTCTTTTGGGGCTTTTTCCAGAACTACAGAATCTCACTCCTTTGGGTCTCCACGCACAAGGCAGCCTAGAATTGCAGTTACGCCCTGGACAACCTTCAACCATTGATGGATAAATGCCCAGGCTCCCTTGACACACAGAGGACCAATTCCGAAGTTTATTCTGGTGACTTCTCCAGGTCCCCAGAGGCACTGAGACCCAGTTTCCCACAGCTCAATAACACGCCTTTTATTGGCTTCTTCCCCTTTTGAGATTTACACTACTTGCTCCCTCACTCTTGCCTCCTGGGGTCCCCTCTCAAATAAGACACCTGCACCCATGCCCTTGTCCCAGGCTCCAATATCAAGAATTCAAACTAGGACATAAACCTAGCAGCACCACCTCTATACCTGGTCCAGGATGCCCTTGCTGGCCTCTCCCCCAGGCCGACTTGATCCTGCCTCTCCTGCTCTGTCTAACATCTAGTGCTGACATCTGCATGGTACCTACATCCTATCCTAACATCACACTGCATCTGTGAGCTCATACCCCACTCAGCTCCAAGATGCTCGCAGGCCAAGACAGTCTCCTGGTCACCTGAGGGTCCAGTAGTATAGGAAACCCTTATTTTTATTGCAGTTGTTATCATTATTAACAAGCACATGGAGTCCGGTGACTCCTGCAATGACATTTTGTTTCTAGACGGTAATATGGTGCATTATAGAAAAAAACACTGAGTTAAAAGTTAAGATATCAAGGCCGGGTGCAGTGGCTCATGCCTGTAATCCAGGTACTTTGGAAGGCCAAGGTGGGCAGATCACTTGAGGTCAGAAGTTTGAGACCAGCCTGGCCAAATGGGGAAACCCCATCTCTACTGAAAATACAAAAATTAGTCAGGTATGGTGTCCGGAGGCTGTAATCCCAGCTACTTGGGAGACTGAGACAGGAGAATCACTTGAAGCCGGGAGGCAGAGGTTGTAGGGAGCCAAGATCATGCCACTGCACTCCAGCCTGGGCATCAAGAATGAAACTCCATCTCAAAGGAAAAAAAAAGTTAAGGTATCAAGATTCTTAAACATTACCTGTAAATTAAATAAAGGGAATAGTTACATGAATATGGCATATTCACTCAATAGACTACTCTGCAACCATTTATGATTTTAAAGTATTTTATTATAATAATTTCTGATAAGCACTTAGTATATTCCACACAGTGGGCTAAAAGCTTTTCCACACATTATCTCATCTAATCCCCACAATAACCCATAATATAGGTACTGGTAATCATCATCATCACTATTACTATTATTCTTATTTTACAAATGAAGAAATTTTGTATAAAATCATCAGCTAATGCTTATAATGCAATGTTGAAGTAAAGAGTGGGATATAAAATGGTGTGTCCAATATATCTCGATTATATGTAAATATATATGTAGAGAAAAAAGTCTAAAAGATGGTGTATTACAATGTGGTCCTTTGTTGTCTCTAGGTAATGAGTTATAAGTCACATTTATTTTTTCCCACTTGCTCAGTAATTATGGCAATTCCTTTTCAGGCTGAGGCTCCACTGCCCTGTCTTCACCTCCATGAGATGCGGGTTAGGTCCCCATGGCTCCACCTTCTCCTCAAGAAACGGTCCAGAGCCTGTGAGCCCTGAGGATTCTACAATTTGGATGTCAAGAGGAAACTGCCAAAAGCCAGAGCCCAGCATCAAGAGAGGTTGCAACAATTATGCTGGGTCAGACCATCAAAAGGATTCACAAGACTCCAACAAAGTAAAAGGCCTAAATGTTTTTTCTTTTCAATTTTTAAAAATATATTTCAAAGAGAGACAGAGACTCACCATGTTGCCCAGGCTTGTCATGAACTCCTGGGCTAAAGCAATCCTTCTGCCTTGGCCTCCAAAGTGTTGGGATTACAGGCATGAACCACTGCACCTGGCCCTGAATGGTTTTATTACAGGCAAAGGATACAGAACAGTAAGAGTAAGAAAACTTGGAGCAACTTCAAGAGGATCACAGTATCCATGAGCAGTGACTAAGGCCCGCCTCAGTTGCATAGGACTGGTTTGGCCTCTGCATCATGAACCCCCTAGTGCATGGGGAAGAGGTGGGCCTCAGGGAAGCCCCAAGGCATATGTTCAATGAGACATTTGTTCATCTTATTTCCCTCTTGTCACATAGTCCAAACCAGGCTAAATAACAAGTCATAATAATTGAAACCAGGTGCCAACCATCCATCTATGTTTTTCCAATAAACTATGTAGCAAGTTGGTACAAGGCACCTCCAGGCAGCTTTGGACTTCTGACAGCATGTTATAAATCACTAATTACTACACCCCATCCTTTCTTGGCCAAGCCTATGGTTCCAACATCTCTGGAGAAAATGCACAGAGTTACACAAACTAGCTTCAAGTTGGCCCTATTCTTTCAGAGGCTAAGGATGGAGATTAGCCTTCCTGGGCCCCTGGAGTCACACCCAGCTTTGCTCCAGATGAAGACCTAGAATCCTGAAAACACAACTTGGGTACCAGGTATGCAAAGTCACGGACAAATGCCCAAGCTCCCTCAACGCACAGAGGGCCAAGTGCATAAATCTCATAGTCATAGAGATGTGCTTGAATATGTCCTCCTGGAGCCTGAGCTCAGACTGGCATGTTTCATTCAGTTGCCACTGATGCTCTGATCCTGGAGAAGTGGGAGAAAGGAAGGTGAGGATAGAGGCTGGCTGTTCTTGCCTCCCTTACTTCTTAACCCTCCCCTATACCCCACCTCCCTTAAAGTCCTCTGCCAATATCCCATAACCTAGCAGAGTAACATAAGCTTGGGATGCACGAGAAATTGACCAACCTGAATCCCACCTTCATTCAATGAATATTCATGTCTCATATGTAAGGAGCTTGCAGATGCTCTAGAGCTCATGGAAGTAGACAGAAGTTGTCTCTATTAGCATGGGGTTTATAGTCTACAAGAAGGAAGATAATTAACAAGATAAACATTCAGATGAATACACAACTTCAAATAGTACAAGAAAAAGGAAACATTTTGTTACAAGAGAGAATAAAGGTTGTTGGAACCTGCAAGAGACCAGAGACCAGAAGGAAGCAACACTAAGGAACTGATATTTAAGCTGAGAGCTGTAGGAAGGAATGGTTGACATAGAAGAAGGGGAAAAGGGAAGGAACAGCATGTGTGAAGGCCCTGAGGAGGGACTGCTCAGAAAGTTAAAGAAAAGTGACTGGAGGCTGGTGTGGCTGGGTGTGGCAGGTGTGGGCAAGAGTGGTAGCAGATGTGAGGTTGAAATGGCTGAAGAGCATTGTGCAGGGTCCTGCAGCCACAGCAAGGAATTTGGAACCTACTCCAGATTTGATGATCTCATGGGTTGACTTCTACAAAAGCAGAGCCTGAGACAAGGGTTTGGGTGCAGGCGGTTGATTCGGAAGTTGATTTCAGGATGCAGGAACAAGGAACGGAAAAGATTTAGGAGACAAAGCCATATACATGTCCATCATCAAGGTCATCACTGAGAACACCAGAAGGTTCTGTGCTTCAGAGACCTTGAGAACTGCATGCAGGAAGCCCTCTGGAATTTTCCACCTGAAGGAAGGATAGTGGCACATTTATTTTGATGGTTACCTCTGGGCTGTTAACTCAGCACTTCTGGGCTGGACTTTTGCACATGCTAAGGTGGTTTCAGTAGCATCCAAGAAGACTCGAGGGCAGAAAGCAGAAAGACTCAGGGCACACTCTTGAGGTTGGGTGAGAAGTTAATATCAGTGGACTGCTGTGCTCATGCCTGTAGTCCCAGCACTTTGGGAGACTGAGGCGGGTGGATTACAAGGTCAGGAGTTCAAGACCAGCCTGGCCAACATGGTGAAACCCCTTCTCTTCTAAAAATACAAAAATTAGCCAGGTGTGGTAGCATGTGCCTGTAATCCCAGCTACTTGGGAGGCTGAGGCAGGAGAATTGCTTAAACCCAGGAGGCAGAGGTTGCAGTGAGCCGAGATCATGCCATTGCACTCTAGCCTGGGTAACAAGAGCAAAATTACATCTTAAAAAAAAAAAGTATCAATGCAGAGGAGGAGCATGGGGGTGAGACATAGGCATGGGGTGCCTCTGCCACCAATGAGGAGCCTAAGACAGTCTTTAAGTGGGAGAGGGCCATCTGATTGCAACTTAGATGCCATCTGCCCAGCTGTGCACACAAAGGGAACAATAACTTTGCATTTGTGAAGCACTTACTTCATGCACCAATACCAGGAACTTTATACACATTGCCTTTAATTATTCATAGTAGGAGTGATTATGAGCATCCGTCATGATCAGGGGTTTCGGGTGGTCCCAAATGACAAGCTTCCCGAGGGGCAACTTCTCTCCTTCCATTTGATCCAAGCCAAAGATGAGTCTTAGATGCCATCTGATGCTTAAACAGCTTATTCTGGCATGTTCTTATGAGATAGACAGTGGGAGCAGGCTGGTGGCATGGCAAGACACAGCCCGGGGTCAGTTGACTGACCAGGAGGATATCGATCCAGAGACCATTAACAATGTTTGGGGGATCCTTCCCCCTTCCATCTGTATTCAGTCCAGATCTGTTACCAGGTGTTTCTTACATAAAAGGAGTTTAAGCTATTGTGAGGATAAGCTTTATTTTAAGATTTATGAAAGTTATATCTGTGCTGATTTAACTCTGTCTCCTGGAAATCCCCGGGCCAGGCTGCTTCAGACTAAGTGACAGGTAGTGTCAGCCCTGCAAGACGCTCGGATGGGTTTTAGGGCTACCATTGATCTTAGAACCACCAGATGCCTTTTGTCATATACTACAGCAGCTTACAGATGTGGAAACTGAGGCTCAGAGGACTGCACTAATTTGCAGTTGTCACAGACAGGAAGTAATGGAGCCGGAAGCTCCTATCAGACCCTAATGCTCTTGTCTGCAGCTGCAGCAAGATCAGAAGGCCCCATTGTGTTCTTATCTGGGGTTCTTCACTTTGTATGGGTCCTCTCTGGCTCAGGTGGTACCAGGAAGCAGTTCTGTAGAGGCCCCGGGCCCCTGCATTTTGACTTTCTGCCCCTGCAGGTGTTCGCCTCCCCCACACACAGAACTGTGCCGCCATGAAAGCTAATTATAAGTGCTGGGTATTTATAGTGAGTTTCTCCACCCAGTGCTTCCAGCACCTCAAGGGAACTATTTACAGAATCCTCCCAGCACCTCGGAAAGAAAGGCAGAGCCGAGCAGGGGAAACTGAGGTGAAGTGACGGGGTGACATCTCCCGTGTTAAGGACCCTCAGCCAAGGAAGCCTTGCAGGTCATCCTCACAGCAAGTGCTGGGATTCAACCAGACAGCTGTCAGGGAGAGACAGAGTGAGAGTAAACCCATGAATGCACACTTCCCAGATGTCTGGCAGCCACGAAATGAGCTATTTCCAAGCATCAGCTCATTTCATCTCTGTGCCTCGATTTTCTGATCTCTAAAATGGGACTGTGAGGCTATGCCTCATAGACTTGGGAGATTTAAATGAGTTTAAACAGGTAAAGGAGAGAGCCTGGCAAGAAGTAAGCTTCAAAAAATGCTATTAGCTACTTGTTAGTTTTTAGCACAACTAATCTAATAAAGTAGGCAAACATTATCCATTGGGCTTGTGAAAAAATGAAAATAATAATTACATTTTTAATCATTTCCTCTATAATGCATGGTTAGGCCACAAGTTTGTTTTGAAACCAAATTTATTTTTTGCTACACTGATGTGTTGCACTGTGGTGAAGTCTGGGCCTTCAGTACGTCCATCACTGGAGCCACACACATTATACTCACCAAGCAATCACCCATTGCCCGCTTGCCTGACACTCTCCACTCCTCCAACTCTCTATTGTCCATCATCCTGCACTCTGCTTCCATGTGTACAAGTTATTTAGCCCCTGCTTACAAATGAGAACATAAGTATTTGTCATTCTATGTCTGAGTTGTTTCATTTATGATCATGGCCTCCAGTTCCATCCGTGTTGCTACAAAGGAAAATTCCATTTATTTTTCAGCTGAATGGTATTCCATTGTGTGTGTATATATAGGTATACCCTGGAGATTTGAAAAACTCCAACACCCAGATGGCACCCCCAGGCCAATGAATCTTTGGTGGGACCCAGGCATCAGTATATTTCCAAAACTCTCTGTATGGGTTCAACGAACAGCCATGGACGCAGGAAACTAACCCACCTGGTCCTTCTCAAACTTCATTGTAGGCACAGATCATCCTGGTCTGTACTAAGTTGTAGACCCTGGCTCAGCAGGTCTGGGGCCAAGCATGAGATTTCACATTTCTAGCAAGCTGCCAGGTTTTCTTGTTGCTGGTCCAGGAAAAGGGACTAGACCATTGATTGAAAAGCTTTTGTTAGCTTTGCAATACTTTGCTGCATGGAAACAGATTCTTAACAAAATTGCTCTGATTAAAATCAGGGTTCAGAAAGGATGGGACAACCGGAGTCTCAGACTCAGATTCACCCCTAAATCCCTGAGTCAGGCAGAATTATGACCCCATCAAAGACGTCATGTCCTAATCCCCCAAACCTGTGAATATGTTCTATTACCCAGCAAAGGGGAATTATATTTTCAGATGAAATTAAGGTTGTTAATCAGCTAATCTTAAAACAGGGAGATAGGCCAGGTGCGGTGGCTCATGCCTGCAATCTTAGTGCTTTGGGAGGCTGAGGCAGGTGGGTGACAAGGTCAGGAGTTCGAGACCAGCCTGGCCAATATGGTGAATCCCCGTCTGTACTAAAAATTAACCAGACACAGTGGCAAGCGCCTATAATTCCAACTACTTGGGAGGCTGGGGGAGGACAATCACTTGAACCCAGGAGGCAGTGGTTGCAGTGAGCTGAGATTGTGCCATTGCACTACAGGCTGGGCAAAAGAGCAAGACTCTGTCTTAAAAAAAAAAAAGCGGGGGGAGATCATCTGGGTCTAATCAGAAGAGATGTTAAAAGTGGAAGAGAGTCACTTAGTACTTTCTATCTGCCTTCCCTATATTTTCTCCTCCATAGAACTCATCTTCTAATATATTTTATAATATATACACTTATGGTTTGTTTTTGTTTTTTTAGAGGCAGTGTCTCACTGTGTTACCCAGGCTGGAGTGCAGTGGCTATTCACTGGTGTGATCCCACTGCTGATCAGCACGGGAGTTTTGACCTCCTCCATTTCCAACCTGGACAAGTTCGTCTCTCCTTAGGTAAGCTGTTGGTCCCCCACTCCCAGGAGGTCACCACATTGATGCCGAACTTAATGTGAACACCCGATAGACACAGTGCATTGCAGCTCAGAACTCCTGGGCTCTAGTGGTCCTCCCACCTCAGCCTCCCCAGAAGCTGGGACCACAGACACCTGCCACGGTGCTGAGCAATATATCAATATATGGATGTTTCTATCGTCCTCTTCCCTGGAAACTACTACATAAAAGTTGGGATTTTGTCTGTTTCATTCATGCTGGATCCAAAGTACCTACAACAGTGCCTGATGCCATGTAGATGTCTGACAAATATTTATGAAATGAGCAGCCAAAAAAGTGAAAGAGGCAGGCAGAAGAGTGATACAATGTGAGAAAACTTCACACCACTGTTGTTGCATTGCAGATGGAGGAAGGGGCCCCAAGCTGAGGACACCAGGAAGCCTTTAGAGGCTGAAAAGGACAAGAAAATGGATTCTCCTCCAGAGTCTCCAGAAAAGAATTCCTTGGTTTTAGCCCACAAAGACCTGTACCAGACTCCTGATCTCCTGAACTGGAAGATAATAAATCTGTGTTGTTTTTAGCCACTCAGTTTGCAGTCCTTTGTTACAACAGCCAGAGGAAACTAATGCACCCTCTGAAGCATCTCCAGTAAAGCCCTAGATCACTGAAGCACAGCTGGGTTCAATGAACTTCATCACTGTGGATCATGAAGGGGCTGAAAGGGTCCGTCCTCAACCCTTTTTCTTACACAGCTACTGGTAGGCACTCAGTACTGCAGGACTTGCTGACACAGCCCAGCCTGGTGGTATCAGCTTCCCTGGGATTCCAGGGCCCCACTCTTCCTGGCAGGAGGGGAATCCCAGGTAGCCTTCTCACAATGCCAAACTTATTTTCATATTGGCAGCTGAGCAGTTCAGCAAAGAGCAGCTTGGAAGTGTCTTCTGGACCCCTAGAAGAGACCTTATTCCTCTCCTTCTGCTGTACTCTGCCAGTTGTGGCCTTGCACCTGCTTGCTCCCACTGGCACGGTACCCAGAGCATCTCTGGTCCAACCAACCAGCTCAGGACAGGACAGAGGGTAGAGGGAGACCTCAAGTCAGTCCCAGTCTGAGCTCCCCTATCCCAGAGGTGGGAGTTGGACTGTTCTGCGGAAGAGCAGATGGGCATGAATCTCAGGGGGTCCTGAAACAGATGAGGTCTCAAAGCCCTAGAACAATGGTTCTCAGCCCAGCTGGCACACTAGATTCACCCAGGGAGCTTTTCAAACTCACAATCAGGCTAAGCACAGTGGCTCATGTCTGTGATCCCAGAACTTTGAGAGGTTAAGGTGGGAGAATCATTTAAGCTAGGAGTTCAAGACCAGCCTGGGCAACACAGCAAGACCCCGTCTCTGTTTTTAAAATGAAAAATTTTTTTGGCTGGGCACACTGTCTCACATCTATAATCCCAGTACTTTGGGATCCCAAGGCAGGTAAATCACCTAAGGTCAGGAGTTCAAGACCAGCCTGACCAATGTGGTGAAACCTCATCTCTACAAAAAATACAAAAACTAGCTGGGCATGGTGGCATACACCTGTAATTCCAGATACTCTGGAGGCTGAGGTGGAAGAATCACTTGAACATGGGAAGTGGAGTTTGCAGGGAGCCAAGATCATGCCACTGCACTCCAGCCCAGGTGACAGAGTGAGACTCTATCTCAAGAAAAAAAAAATTTTTTAAACCTCATGATGCCCAGGCTGCTATAATTCAATCAGAATTTCTGGAAGTGCAAACAAGGTGGCAGTTTTTAAAAGATTCTGGGTGATTTCAATGGAGTCAGGGGTGAGACCATCCAGATCAGTAGTTCTCAGGCATGGGTAACAGGTGGACAGCATTGGCATCACCTGGGGGCTTGCTGGAACTACAGAATCTCATGCTTCACCTCAGACATAATGAATGACACTCTGCATTTCAGCAAGGTCCCCAAGAGACTCCTGGGCACTGTAACTATGAGATGTACAACAGTGGAGCATAATAGTTAAGAATGCTAGCCCAGGGTCAGACTACCCAAGTTCGTGGGGTGTCTCCACCACTTCTTATCCACAAAGGCTTGGGCAAAAGACACTCTCAGAGTTCTCATTTTCCCTTTTCAGCATTCTCTCATGTCTCACAGGTGGGGCTAGCCAGGAAACTCCAGAAATCCACAATAGTCCAGGGGTCCTTGTGGGGCACCCAGGAAAATTCACAGCCTGTCTTGGAGGAAGAGTTTCCGGAGGACCTCCTGCAGTAACGGAACATGAAATTCCAGGTAAATGTGAAAACAGCTACATTAGGGAAAGGATCCGATTTAAAATGTTCTGCCCCTCTATCTCTTTAAATGAGCACCCAGGTCATATGTCCTGACCTTCTAGTCTTAAAAATACTGTGTGTGTGTATGTGTGTGTATGTGTGTGTATGTGTGTGTGTGTGTGTGTGTGCATTTACAAGTTCGGCCTCATGAAAAATTGACAACCCATTCATGGTAGCTGAAGAATGATAGAAGCTTCAAGGTGTTCAAGAGAAGTGTTACAGAAAGTCAGCACTTATTTGAAGCTCCTTCATTGATATGATCAGAAATCTGGAAAAAAAACACTGGAAAAAAACAGTGCCTTAGAGGGAAAACCAGGCAGCGTTCTGAAGAATTTTAAAAACAGGAACAAGGATTTCTCAATTTGCAGGGATCTCTGGAAGCAGGCCCTTTCAGATGAAGGCAGCAGGCTATAGTTAGAAAGAGATATATGGTGAAGAGCATTCTGTTACTATAAATTCACTTCCAAAAGCCAAACATATGTGTGCACACACACATAAATACCACATCTATGGAGGAGATAAATCAGCGTATGACATTTAGCCCTTCCTAAATTGGGAAAAATATAAAATTACAACTTTTTTTTTTTTTTTTTTTTTTGCTAGTGTGAGAATAAGAAGGAAGGCATCTCACTCTAATAAGATCGATCTGGGAGAGCATTATCTACATTCCTGAGTGCAGCTCATTCAGTCATTCACTCATTCAGTCTCCCAATAGTTGCAGGTGTCCACAGGCCAATAAGAAAAAAGACTGATATCATTCCAGTCTTCACAAGGCTGGCTGGCTAATGTCTACCTCTCAGAGTATGGTCCCGGACTAGCAGCACTGGCCTCTTCCAGGAGTGTCTCGAATGCAGATTTGTGGGTCCCACCCTAGACCAACTGAATCATAATCTCACCCAGGAGTTCACATTCAGGTTTGAGAAGCACTGACCTAATACAACCTAATTTCTAAAGGTTTGCCACGAAGGATGGCAGTCTGGAATTTCTATTTCACTCAGGACCTACAGACAGAGAATCATTAAATGGAAAGATTAACAAAGTCAGCTATTTAGAACCCAAACACCCCCATCCAACCAATGGAGATGATCCATCCAAAGCATTGCTGATTTGTCTAATTGCAAAAGACTGTGGAAACCAGCAAGTAACTCTACAATAGCACGAAGGAAATCTGGGAGGTATTATACAACTATTTCATGATTCATCAGTATCCAGGGACCCTCCCAGGAAGGAAGAGATGGGTTCAAGTTGCAGGGTGAGAGGCTTTGGAGGAAAAGTTTGCCTGTCTTGGTACAGAAACTGAAAAGTCACAGATTCCAATTCCAACACTCAAGCCCACTAATGGATGGATTGGCTCCAAAATCGGCAGGGTAACAGATGGAAGTGGAAGAAAAAAACATCATTTTCCCCAAACTTGCTGAGTCTGATGAAGATGTCGGAAGATTTGGATGCAGCCAGCATGATTAATCTTACCAACTTTACCTTGAGTTTCACTTTTGGCGGGGGAATGGCATCAGCTTAAAAGTTAATTACCAGCAAGAAACAAATCATGCAGCTGATGTGCACATTATAAACAAATTAAGTTCTTAAAATAGGGAACACGCCACTTGGAACAATGGTTTATGAACCCATGGGTGCATGAAAATAATTGTGGAAGGTGAACAAACTAATATTTAAAGTATGTGAATGAAATGAAGGCAAATTGCAGATTGAATGAATGAAAAAGGAAAGGAAAACATGGTCAACCTCTCATTTTGTAAACAGCAAGCCATGCAGAATGATCCAGGATGCAGCCCCCTGTGGAATGAGGATGGAGGCCCCTGACAGAGACAGGGCTCCCCAAAGATACAGAAGCAGCTGGAGTGCACAGAATCAGGGCAAGAGGAGGGGGTGTCCAGCTGGGGAAGCTCAGATCAAAGCTGACAGCAGCAGAGCCCCACCACACAAGGGTAAATTCAGAGGTGTGTGGGAGGGGAAGTTTCTTTCCATTGTAGAAAGTTGGAAATTCAGTCCAAAGATTTTCATTGTAGAAAGTTGAGAATTCAGTCCAAAGTCTTCATTGTACAATCAAAGAGACCAAGCACAGAGAGGGGAGGTAATTCTCCCAAAATCACACAGGAAGTGTCAGAGCCAGGACTTGAACTTTGGTTTCCTGACTCCAGATCACACTTCCTTCTCATTCATCAGGGGTTGCAAGCTCCTGTGCCTACAGGGTCAGGCAGGGAGCAGAAATGCAAGAACCTGGCTTGATGTGAAGACTATGGGCCACGAGGGTCCAACAGAAATTCAGTGTGAACCCCATAAGAATTTTCTAATAGAAGTGGAAAAATACCTCCCAGATTCCCTTATCCCTAATAGCCATCTCAGTTTGGACTAGCCACAGTTCAGGACTCAATAGCCCCATATGGCTAGTGATTACCTTATTAAATATTGCAGCTATATGCAGTGATGGGAAATTTTAAAAGCTGGAGAGAGGGTGACCCATCTAAAATGGGACAGCAGCCACAATCCCAACCATAGAATTAGGGACATTTGAGGCCAGTTTGCAAGCTGCCACCCACGCCCACCAGGAAGACTACAGCAGCCTCCTACATGATGTCCTGCTTCTATGCCTGCCCCCTCCCACACTGTGCACTCCCCACTGGCAGCGAGAGTGAGCCTTTAAAATGCAACTAGGTCTTGACACCGAAATTTATTCAGTTCTTGAGCTTGAGGCCAGGTCAAGAACTGGGATCCCAAGTAGCTGGGATTACAGGAATGTGTCACCACGCCTGGCTAATTTTTGTATTTCAGTTGTGCCTCTAAAATCCTCCAATAGCTTCAAAGACAGGCGTGGTGGCTCATACCTGTAATCCCAGCACTTTGGGAGGCTGAGGAGGGTCGATCACCTGAGTTCAGGAGATTGACACCAGCCTGGACAACATGATAAAACTTAAAAATACAAAATTAGCCAGGCATGGTGGTGCACACCTGTAATCTCAGCTACTTGGGGGCTGAGGCAAGAGAATCGCCTGAACCTGGGAGGTGGAGGCAGTGAGCCGAGATCATACCATTGCACTCCAGCCTGTACAACAAGAGCAAAATTCCATCTCAAATAAAATATATAAGTAAATAATTAAAATAATAAAATCCTCCAGTATCTTCCCATTGTATTTAGAACAAAATCCAGGGGTTCTTACCCCATCTTCATGTACTCTGTAAGATCCACATTTCTGATCTTCTGAACATGCCCATCTTTCTCTGACCCCAGGGCCTTTGCACTGGCTATCTGCTCTGCTTAGACCAGTCTCTCACCTCCTGCCCCAGTCTTCCAGGGCAGGGTCCTTCTCATTATGCAGCTCTCAGCTCAAGTATCATCTCCTCACTTGAATCTTTCCTTATCACTGTGAATTTTAGCACCTGCCTTGATTTATTTATTTATTTATTTGAGACAGTCTTGCTCTGTTGCCTAAGCTGGAGGGCAGTGGCACCATCTCAGCTCACTACAACCTCTACCTCCCAGGTTCAAGCAATACTCATGCCTCAGCCTCCCAAGTAGCTGGGATTACAGGCATGTGTCACCACGCCTAGCTAATTTTTGTATTTTCAGTAAAGACAGGGTTTCACCATGTTGGCCAGCCTGGTCTCAAACTCCTGGCCTGAAGTGATCTGCCCACTCTAGCCTCCCAAAATGCCTGGATTATAGGCATAAGCCACCGCACCCAGCCCCACCTCAATTTATACCACACAATCCTACATCATTTTCTTCATAACACTTATCATCCCCTGACTTTGAAACATCAACGCATGCATTCATGTGTTCGTCGTCTCTCTGCTCCAAGAACATAATCCCTATGAAGGCAGGGGCCTTATTCTACTTACCAAAGTGCCTCCAGAATCTGGCATATAATGGGTACTCCACAAACATTCATGGAGTGACCCAATGAGACCCTGAAAGACAGGGGACCTCCAACGGGCATTGGGATGACACAAACATGTGATGTTCACGTAAGTGTGCATCAGAGAAGGGTGTACCAAGCACTGTGAGAACCCAGAGGTGGCAGAGAAGGTTCCACAGAAGAGAGGTTATTTGAGCTGAGCCTTGATGGGCTGGACTTCCTCTTGCTTAGAGTGCCTTTACTGTTTCTCAAC